GTCTTCCCCGTAGCAAGCACATCGTCCACCACCACCACTGAGGCACCGCTGGGAATCAAATTCCGTTCCATCTCGATCCTATTTCCTTCTATGTCGTTGGATGTCGAAGATGAGATGTGCGACGTAGACTTGAAGACGGAAACGGTGGGTGGGGGGAGTTTTCCGGCTTCGCGAATCAGCGCCAAGGGTAAATCGACCCGCAATGCCAGCGCCGACGCATAGACAAAGCCACCGGCCTCGCAACACACCACCACATCGGTTCTGGTCCATTCACCGGAAAAGTGAGCCTGTAGCAGAGATGTGCACAGGTTCAGCCCACCCGGTTGTTGGGATATATTGAGCACGTGACGGAATTCGACGCCAGGTCGTGGAAAGTGGGGTACCGGGCGCACCATGTTTGCCAGTCGCTGAAGGCCCTCATCGCAGAAAGGAAGCAGGTGGACTTCGGCAAACCTTATAGCCGCCTCGCTTCCAACCGTGTCATTTTCGAAGATGAAACTAGGGCGGCAGTCCAAGGGCTGCGGTTTTGGCCTGCTGCTGTCACCATCATCATCACCGCCTTGACACCCTCGGCGAGCACGCCGCGTGTCTTTGCTAGCTTTGACACGAACCTCGAGCAGTCTGCTATCCGGCACTAAATGCGACAAGGCCGCCACCGGGGCCTCATCTCTCATCCCGGTGATTAGCAGCACATCTACATCTGCAGCGCCTAATACCACATTTAGAAAATGCTCCTCGGGCAATCGAGGTCGATTTGACACCTGATGCTGGAAGAATGTTGTCAACGCTGATCGGTGTTGCTCTTTGTAGCCACGGTCCTGAAACAGACAGTTTAGGTCGGCACCGGTAGCCGCCGCGTATTCTCGCTTAGTCGCATCGCTGATGCTGACTGCGCGCGCCACGAGGCCTTTTTGGGTGCAATTGAGGAACATCGAGACCCAGACGTCGGCACAATAGTCTTTACCGGCGCAGCTATCTCCTGTGACGAGAATAATGAGCCTCGGTTCCATCGGTGCTTTTGAGAGAGGGCAGGCGTATGCCAGCACATTGCGCGAGTCTGAGTTGTGCTTGAGACGGGCGAGACGCGGCCGATTTGGTCCAAAAGCCTTGATCGCCAGTGCGGCGTCTCTAGGGTCAGGTCCGAGATCTGCACTGTAAACGCCGCTACTCAGGGGCAACAATTTCATGGCGATGTTGTATACCCAACACACGGCAGCTCCAGCAACTTCGGTTCCATCTTGGTCGCGGTACCAGACACCAGTCACCACACATGCAAAGTCCCAATCTCGGCAGCCAAAGGCATTTTCATCAGCTGCCACGTCGCCAACCGCTCCACCACCTTGAAGCAGATGGAGGTAGCAGAGTGGCGAAGGACGAGTCTCAATTGCCGTCACCAAGATGTTGGTGATCGCCTGTGTTCCGATATTTTTTAAAAATAAACATCGCTTGAACGAGGAGGTTCTGCTGCCGCTGTGACCACCGTGCATTCCGGACATGTACATCTCGGACTCGAACAAACCAACACCATCCACAGACTCGAAATTGTCTTCTGGTCCTAAAATTGTCCCCATAGACGTGGATAGAGGCATGGAAATTGGCATTTCAGAGCTGAGCCCAGTCTCGAAAGATTCGAACATGGTCACGCCAAGATGCAGGTGGCCGACATCCCAGTACAGATATGCGTCAGCGGAGCAGTTCCTGGGGAGCTCCCTGGCGACATGTTCATCAAATTCGCTGAGTTTGGCCTGCGCCTCAAGGCTGTCACTCAATGGGACGACCCAATTACGAACTGAATAAGTCCGAGATGCGAAAGCCTTGAAAGTCACGCTGACTACGATGCCAATGTTAGTCCCAGCGCCTTTCATCCCCCATAACAAGTCAGTTCCATTTTCTGGGCGCACGGCACCGACCGGCTGGTGTTGGCTTGGCACATGACCGATGCAGAAGACCTGGCTAGAGTCGACACTGACAATTACGGCACCGACAATGGCATCACACGCAAGACCGTATATTCTAGCCAGATGCCCGATGCCACCCTGTAACCACAGCCCCGCGCCTACGCTTGGGCGGGCGCCCAAGGGCACCGTTACGCCCACTGCCATGGCATTGCGAACAATATCGCCCGTTTTGCAGCCGGCCTCGGCGACGACTAAGGCAACGCAGTCGGAACCGAATTCTGCCCTATCATCCCCAGTCGGCAGAATGTGTACTTGGCCAAAGGCGCTCATGTCGACCGCAACAACGTTGGGCCATAAGCAGTGGCCGCTGTGACCCCCACCAACAATGGTCAGGCCGACCCCATGCTTTAGAGCCCATCGGACGCACTCCTGGATGTGTCGGATCTCTGTCGGCCTAGAAATCGAGGCGGGACGGTGAAGGCGAGCCTCCCTGTTTTTAACTGTTATGTCTCCTCTCAAAAGTGGCACTTGAGCCGCCAGCTCCGGTAATGCCGTCGCCTGTTTGCTAAAGGCGACCATTAAGTTGGGCGAGCTGAAGAAGAGATGCTCTGGGTAAGCTTCCTCACGGCGGCTCAAGGCGCGGCACACGTTACGCCATTCGGCTCGGAGGACATTGTCCGAATCTGCGTCATGCATGCCAAAACCCGCGACGAAAGGAGCAAAAAGGTCTAGTACCTCGTCGTCATTTGGCACGCAAATTACCCCGGTCGAGAAAGAAGCCGTTTGATTGCTCACTAATCCGTCAAAGTCAAGGGTGCCATCCCGATGAAACACTACCACCATTCCGCCTTCGGGCTGCTCAACAAGCATCCCAAGTGCTTGTTCGATGAACTTGGCTTTGGGGTTTAAGCCGTACATACTGTGGCAGAATATAACGAAGTCGAATTTCTCATCACTGCCACAAGTAACGCCACCTGTGGCGCCCTTTTTAGAGCTATTCAGAATAAATGGCATGCGATGGATGTCGGGCGCACTTTCCAGACACGGAAATGGGGACTCCACGTCTGACTTAGGACAAAGCCATTTCTGCACCTTTGCAGCAAATAGACTGTTGGGCTCAAACGCAGAATATCTCTTGACCTTCTGTCTCAGATGGCTAGGTAGATGCCCAAGTACGCTCTTCGGACCTGGCCCGATTTCCAGCACCGAAATACGGGTACGCGAGCTGAAGAGTTGGGTCAAAAGCTGGCAAATTTGAGGGATAATAAAGTCATGGTATGTCATCCATCCTGAGCCCCGCACCAAGGTATCGAAGCCAGCGCTGTACTGCAAGTCTGACAATGGTTGTTTCGAGAATGACACCTTTTCTGTAGCTTTCTGTCTGAGGGCCCATTTGAGAGACTCGAGAGTGGCCATTTCCGTTCTGCATGAAAATAATTCATGGATGTTGAAAGTGGAAAGTGAGAGCTGCGCGGAAACGTACTCATGGCTTAGCAACCTATGGACTGAGTCATACCCAACAGCGATGGGTATCTGTGCAATGTCACTTGGAGCGGGGTCATGGGTGCAAGTCTGAGTGATAATTTGTTAAATGAAGTCAGGACTCATGCATGTGATTTACTCGACTCCCTGCCTATTTGGTGCAACTTATATCATGCTGACAATTCAGGATATAGCGTTTGCTTCTGATAAAAACAAGCCCAATATTCTTCGTTTCCTCATAGCCATGGACTCTGGATCCTTTCCACCAGATTCAAAGGCGTCGACCTTTCCGTCCCATATGCTGAACGATAGATCCCCCTTATGTTCTTCCAAGTGCCCTAGCTCTGGTGAAGGCGGCCAGGATGCCCATGAATATCAGAACAGCGACTCACCCGTTAACCCTTCATTCGCTTGTCACGTCCCCCTTGAATTAAGTTCAATTGAGGAGGGGCCTGCCGTCGCCCCCGCCTCTGTTCTCGCTGCCCAAGATAGTGGAGCCGCCTATACCACATCGACCTTACGGTATGGTGTTAATGCTGGTCATTTCCTCTACTATTCCTGATTCTTGACCAGTTGCCGGCCTACATTTAATGAGTCGCCTCACGAGCCCCGAGATGGCAAGGAAGACTTCCCTTCTGTCCCATACCTACTAGACCTCGAAGCCAGACAACAAGTGGAGTCGACACAGAGACAACATGATGAGCGAATTCAGAAGCTTGCGCGGGCTGTGCGGACTATTCTTGAATGCGTTGGTGAAGAACCAGAGAGAGAAGGTCTATGTGCGACACCAGAGCGATATGCCAATGCCATGCTCTATTTTACCAAGGGCTACGCGGAGAATGTCCATGACCTGGTTAATGGAGCTGTGTTCCACGAGGGCCACAACGAACTTGTCATTTTGAGAGATATTGATGTATTCTCCCTCTGCGAACACCACATGGTTCCCTTCACCGGAAAGGTACGAGTTTTTTATGTGCATCCATGGGACAAAGAATAACATATGGACAGGTGCATATCGGTTACATCCCAGATAGCCGCATCCTTGGTCTTTCCAAAATGGTCCGTTTAGTTGAAATGTTTTCCCGCAGGCTCCAGGTCCAAGAGCGCCTGACCAAGCAAGTTGCTCTGGCCGTTTCTGAGGCGCTCAAGCCTCGGGGCGTCGCTGTTGTCATGGAATGCTCCCACCTTTGCATGGTTATGCGTGGCGTACAGAAGATCGGCAGCACTACAACTACAAGCTGCATGGTGGGATGCATGCGGTCAAGTGCAAATTCCAGAGAGGAATTCTTGGCGCTCCTGAATCGAAGATAGCAATTCCCCTCCGCATTCATCTATCTCATCATTCCAGCACAGTACCAAATTCGTATGTTCCAGTCTAAATTTGGCAATATTTCTCCTGTCGTTTCCTTAGCCATCACTATGTTCGAGCTGAACAGTGAGATCTTCATGCTTTGTACTGCTGGACTTGTTACTATCTGAGCGCATAAGGCACGCTATATTGTTGTGCTTTGGTGTGGTGGGAATGCGGACTTCGGGGCTAGCGCGGCCTGTATCTTCAATAGCGGCCGTGGACCTTTATCCGATTATTGCGAGCATTGAACCGCAAGTTTCCTTCTGTTACGCAAAGATCATTGAAAACCTTCATGGTAGTCACAGCTAATTTTTTATGTCTTCGAAGGCTCTTGACTTTACGGTGAAACTCATTCAGCGCTGGTATTTGGAGTAGTCTCCTCGTTGTCAGATTGATTATCCATGTCTGTGAGCTTGCTCTCGTGCCAGTGAAAAATCGTCTGGTTTTCAAAATCTCCGCAAACCTAAAAAGACTCACCCGCGGCTTTGAATAATGAAAGTCCCTAATTTTATCATTAGTCGGAACCCTCCATATAATCTCTGCATGCTGGCATGTGATTTGTATGCAACCATGCAGCAGCGCTACTGTACCCTGACAGCGAAAACGTGGCTTCCGATTTTCATCGTCGGTCACGTCAATATGCGCACTTCGGTTTCTGAGAGCCCCGTGTGAAGTCCAAACCGAGTAAGACTCTTGACACTTTATATCTTCGAATTCATTATGCGTCATAGTCATTTGAGCAATTTGGCTAATGTTCTGAAGTCGTGCGTTTCACGCGCATCGGCGCTAAAATGACACATAAAAGGGGTGTTTGGCGCAGCAAATCAACCAGTATGAACTGATAAGCTCAATGTGAATGTCCACGCGAAATGATGCCTGCATATGAGGAAAGACAAAGTGAAAGATGTTTCCTAATGTTTGTCCAGCCTGATTCAACTCGCACAGCTTTATGCCTAATGCCACAGGTCTGAGGAAACCAAAAGCTTGAAAGATCCGGAGATGCCCAACAACGCGCTGATTCATGACATTCGAGAGTCTACATCCCGTGATCCCGGGTACCTCAACCCAATAACTTCACGTTTGCATCTCAGTACCGTGGTTCAATGGTGCCCGCTTTCGCATGTAATACTTTCCTGCATATCTTGGCGGTACACAGCGCCAGGGCGCAGAGATCGCGGCCCGTGTTGATCCGGTCGGTGATCCTAGAGACGGGTCTTTTCACTAGAACTCAACGGCTGGCACCCTTTTTTACACAGTGGATCAGTTATTTACATGATGCTCTATCTGTAGTACC